CCCTGCACCATGTGTCTGTTCTGTCTATTTAGATTGTAAACTCTTGCAGGGCCGGGATGTCTTTTTGTTCTCTTTGTACAGCACCTACCACAATGGGGTCTTGATCCATGACTAGGGTTCCTAGGCACAATGGTAATACAAATAATAAATAATATTTTCCCATGTTTTCTGACAAGTAAATCACTTTTCCCAACTTCCTACATTTCATTTTTGATCAACTAATAACATACCATATGTGAATAGCATCTGATGTGGCCTCCGTTGTGTTAAGAGTTAATAACACAATTCTAATGAGGTATCTCTAGATGGTGGAGATGTGATAGTCTTCACATAGATGAAGGTGGAGCTAGTTGCTCATTATAAACCTGATTTTGACCCACTTGTTTACCTTTAATATCCATCTGAAAGTTTAGTTCAGGTTAGAATTTTTATAGAAAATTTGGGGAAAACTGGGCACGGTAAATTTGGGATTTGATTGTTCAAAACCATAAGTGGTTTACATCTCTCATACATATTCTGACATTTTTGATTTATCATAATTCCAAAATGTTTGGACTTCAAAACTCTGAATTTGGTTTATTTTGTTTTTCTGCTCCCATACAACATTAGTGACTTTTGTTGGATTGAAGGGTATGATGTAGAGGACTTTATTTAGTTATTAAAAAGCATTAAAGATTAAATGATTATTAAAGATTATTAAAAAGATATAAAAAGTTTTTATTCCCAAGTGCTATACTTAAAGGATGTATCCATAATGCCAGCTGTTTAGTTTTAACAGAAATAAAAAGATCAATAACTTGACACACAACTTATTTTAGTAACAGTTTTATTCCTTGATTTTCAGTGAAAATTAACTAGATAGATTTTTTTTAAATAAAAGCTTACATAGTTTGAACAAAATAAACCATGCAGATAAATGGGAGGAAAGCATTTTGTATTTCATATGGAAGAAAAGTGGAATCAGATAGATACAGTCCTCTTGTCTGTAATTTGATGGAAACTCAGTACAAAAATCTTCTATAGATTCTGTTACATTCTTTCTAGATTATGTGCCATGAAATCACTACCTTAAAAACAGAATTGGGGAAATTGCAACAGAAAAGGCAATTGAGTAAACATAATTTAATTCTATCTCAAAATGCAGACAAATTAGTAGAAAATAGTAACTGTTTCCAAAAATAATACTGCAATGACAGTTATCGTCCCCCTCCCTCCACAAACACAGGGCATGATCTGAGGAATAGTAAATGTGAAAATGCAAAGGTTTATAAGAAAAGGAGTACTAGTGGCACCTTAGAGACTAAACAATTTATAAGGTTTATAAGAATGTTGTTCCTGTCAGGTAAGCACAGTAAAGAGATGGAAATCAGTTTGACTTTTTACAATGACTTATTAAGCAGTGCGTTAAGAAATGGAGCCTGGATTTATTCATTTCAGTACAAACTGAACAACTTTAATGGTTCATGGTCTCTATTCTTACATTACAAAACAATATTTTCAAACCCCGAGGAATGCTGAGAAGGGAAGAGAAGTAGAAAAACTGACAATTTAAAGTGAAGTTAGAATAAATGTATCTCAACCTCCATGAACTATGGACTTCTGGAATGCTATTGTGTTGGTGGCATAGGGTGTAAATTTCTTTTGTATGAAGATAGATATCAATTCTTAAATGTACATTGATATTCTGATGTTGAACATTTGATTTTTGAGGGTTTTTAAATTTTTGTTTTTAGTCTTTGTTTTTTTAGCTCTAACCATTAAATACAGCAGTTATGTAAAAGTAAAAAGGAATGGGAGAAAATAGAAGTCCACAGTCAATGTGTATGATTATGATAACTAATAATGTTTTATTAACAGCATTTTTGCACGTGATTTATTGATAAGACTACAGCATAAAGCTACATTTAAAAAAAAGTTTTTGCATAGCTCTTAAAAATGTCACAACTTTGCCTTTGCAATTGGTTAACATTGCTGTGACATTTTAAAAAATGCTATGTATTAAATACAGGAAGTATCCAGGTAACACTGCAAATATGGATGCAAAAATGAGTTAATTCTCCCAAGCAACTGAAAGGTTTTTAAGAATGAGAACTGACATTAGGAATCCTGTAAATTTACAAAAAAACACATTGCCCAATGTAAATAGCCACAGTGTAGGGAAGGGACATAAAAAGAGGCACATGGGAGGGGGGAATAGTGACTGTTAAGGGCAGTGGTTCTCAATCTATTTACCATTGTGGGCCACATCCAATACCACCTGTATGGCCCTGAGGATGTCACATGGGCCACATCTCTGTGTTGATTGGGCTGCAGCCAGCCCATGGGCCTCAGGTTGAGAACGACTTGTCAAGGGCATGGGAAATGGAGCCACCCGGGGTGAACGTTTGAGTGGAATGGAAGAAGCTGTGCAAGGATGAGTATGATCTGTGGGGTAGCAAGTCCATTCCTACTCAGCTAGCAGCCTCCATACAGACTCCTGTTCTGAAGGAGTTTGTAGTCATTCGAAAAGAGCTAAAGAAATTCTCAAAACACTTTAAAATGGAGTTAAGATTGCAGATATGCTTCACTAACTTAACAGAGGTAGGAAGCTTTACAACAACACTGTAGATTTTAAAAAGTGCTTTTTAAAAAGTTAACATATTAAAAACAAATAACAGCTGGGAAGTATAAAAGTGGACACTGAGCGGTCTTCAAATAGCCTTAACTCTGGCCAAGGTTACTACCCTGAAATCAGAAGTCAACCTTATCCATAAACTTCATAATTCCTCAACGCTACCAGTCCCATTATATGCTCTCAGTAACATTAGAGAAGTTCTGCAGTTTTGTCTATCAGAATTTACCATTAGTGAAACCATTGAATAATTATATGTTTATGTATGGTGGATGTCTGCAACTTAATACAAATAGGATAAACTAGAAAGCCACTTTTCAAAGTTAAATAACTTAATGGTTTAAAAAGCTGTTTGCCACGCTTACTACTTAATGTATTTCTGACATTTAGTCACAACAGAGAGCCAATCATCTGAAAGAAACAGGAAACACTACTTTTTAGATCAGTTTCTTTTAAATTAAGCATTATTTATTGTGAAGAAAAATGCATTTCAACTGACTAGCTTCATGCCATGTTTCAGCCCCATGTGAACAAAAGCAGCTGTGTTGGAAATCCATGGGGGAAAAATGGTTTAAGCTGGAAATGGCAACTTGCCCTTAACGATAGCAGTGCTGTGGATGCATCACTAAAAGAAAAGGTCCAAAAGTTTTCAGGTGCACCTCAACTGCTGTCAGTTTAATGGAAGCAATCTGCCTTTCAGTTCTTGTAGGACAAGATTTGCTCGAGTGCTTTGCCTACTGCTAAAGCTTTCCCTTTGTGTATAATATGGATGATTTAGAAGAAGCTGTGTCAGCACTGATTTATACATTGACAGCTAAGGATAATAAGATATGGGCAAACATACAGCTCACCCTTTTACAGATTAACCTGCAGACTGCATTAGGCAAATTTGATGGCATTAAAAGATTTTGCCAATTTGTCTGGAAACAATTTCTCTTTTGTGTTGCGTCAAGGGTAACATTTCATGCCATTGTACTAATTTAAATGGCTTTGATAAATTGTTCCAGAGGTTAGAGAATAGTACTATAGATATATTTTGCCTCTTTAAAATAAAAAGGCTATTAACATAATTGTTAAATGAAATTAATTAGTTAAAATCAAAAGAGTTCTTAGGAACATAGGTTTAAAGAAAAACACACTGCAGTACAAATATTGTGCCAAAATGATTAAAAAATGTGGTCAGGAAATTATATTTTGGTTTTTGTTTCTAGTAAACAGAAACACTATTCCAGTACAGCTACAATAGTATAGTGTTTCTGTTTACTAGAAACTAAAAGAAAAATACATATGAAACTTCAGAGGCAATGTAAAAGTTGCTATATTACAATGAAAAAAGATGTAATGATTTCTTATCCAAGTAAAGGGTTACCACAGGTTCACAAAAATCTCTGGAAGTGCTTTAGTAAAAGCCTTATTAGCTCTGATAGGTAGTATGTAATGAGAAACACAAGGGGTAAAGTTCATTTGTATTATGCTCATATTCTTAGTATTGTTCAGCTGTGTAGAAACGTGGATTTCGTATCTGAGTGGTTGTTAATTTCAGAAAAGTGTGTATCTTTCTTTTTTCAGAGGAGTCATGTAGTATGTACTGTATTAATGTTTTGAGTTGAAAAAAGTAATAACATCCTTCAGAGAAAAGTTTGTAAATTTTTCATAACTTAATACTTTAAGATTAATAATGTATGAGATGGCATTGCTGAGTTTTATTTCCAGAATTCAAGTGCTCCTTTATTACATCCTATCTGCATATAGTTACAAAGAACACAAACTATGCAAAAATCATACACTGAACGTTATTGCAGAACAAATGCTAGATATATTTGGAGCAGAATTAAAGAATGTAACTAAGAAAATGTGTATGCCTAGGACAATGTTGTTTCTTCATTTCGAACAATTCTAGAAGGAAACTGCCTTTGAAAAACTCTAAAAGTGGTCTCTCTTGCTCTTTCTTGCCAAGGATAGTGAAATTAACATGCAGCTGGTCTTCTCTGATAAATGGATTCTGTTAGGTCACTGAGGGGATGCATGTGACATTAAGTGATTTACAGTCCTTTACCTTAATGAAATTGTTTCAGTGAGATGACGCTGAGAGCTTTTAATGGATAGCTTTTCTTGATGTAATGAAATTGCATTCCTTTGGCATTTAATATAAGGTGCAGTTATTATTTACTGGAGCTTTCCCAGAGCTGCTGTTTTACGCAGACAGTTCAGAACAAAAAGAGATTTCAGTGGCAGCATCAAGGCCAGAATGGCGTGTGACATTCTTAAGCAGATGAGTGTATTTGTGAGAGCGTTTCAGTTACTGTGGCCTAGCTACACAGACCCTTTAGGAGGCTTTCTTACACAGCGTTCATCTCTTTTACCTATTCCCTCATAATCTGTTTAACAGGCAACTGGATTACAACCAGATCAGCTGTATTGAAGATGGGGCATTTAGGGCTCTACGCGACCTGGAAGTGCTGTAAGTACTGCTTGTATCTCTTACTTTTAACTGGAGCTCAGTATCTAGGGAGTACTAATGTAAAAGCTTATCTGCTAGCTGCAGCCTGGGAACAAAATGGTCTAGTGAAAAGATGTCTTAAAATAATCCACTGTGATGTGTTGTAGAATGGTAAATATATGTATAAAGACATATTATTTTGCTCACCCAGAAAAGCATTTAACAAAATAATCAGATGACATGTATTGTAAGAAAGAGACACTTCCTGAAAAAAAAAGTACTAATGCATCCATTATTTTTGTGAAATATTTTTCATTGCTGAAGTGCTACACACTTTAATATTGCTTTTGTTATGTAATTTGTTGTAGATAACCTCTATCTGCCTGTTTATCTATCTATATCAAAATGATAAATACATTGAATACATTTGTAATAACTGTTTTCATTAAGCTACTTTTTCAGTAAACAGAACCGTGATATCTGCTATGTAGCCTGTCCATTCATTATTAAATGCTTTACAACTGATTTTTTTTTTATACACAATGTATTTATGGCATTGATTGAAGGGTTGGGTTGCACGTTGCCTTGCTTACTCTTTTCTCATGTTGAAATTGCTGTCAAATGAGGATAAAGGTAACAAAATAATCTACAATGACCCTTGACCTGAAAATAGTGACTATGATGAGTAAAATGTCTAATTCCTAAAGAATTTGAGGCACAGGATACATTCTTTAAATATTTCCTCTGTCAATCAAAGTGTCACATTCCTTGGTTACTTTTATACATTTAAAGAAAGCAGGAGACTTTTTTCTCTACCAATAATAGTGCTTCTCTGGATGTCGTTTTAAATCACCCTGACTTCAAACGACTTGGAAACCCAATGCTAAATTAAATTGGTGGGGGGAGAGAGCTTTAAGTCTTAACTTAATTTTTGTTAGTAATTATGTAAAATCAAGAAGCTTTTCCGAGAACACACATTATCTTTTTATGAATAGAATCCAAAGGATAAAATACGAGCAACTTAGGGGAAAGGTGGCAGTTATTCAGCAGCTATTGAGCTAATCTATGATTACTATGAGTGGGTAGCTGTGACTATTTGTTTTTAATTTTTAACATTTTATCACATTTCTTGGTTTTAAGTCATTAGAGTCAAGTAACCAGATAACTAAAATGTTGCTTTCTCTTTTTTAAAATGTGTTAAAATATGCTGCTTATTTGATATTAACACATGTGACTTGTAAAGTGTATAAATGGGTGGTTTGTCAGCATACCTGATGTACTGTGTGATTTTTATCCGCACTTTCCAAGGAACTCACCTGTATCACAGGGTAACTTATATTTTCACAGTGCTGGTTAAGGCAGTTATCATGTTACCTTACTTTAAATATATAGCCTCCTTTAATAGTGCATTTTATATATGTCCAAAAGAAATGAATTTTGAACGTGTGTTTTAATTAAATCAAATATTATTAGTACTGCTTTACTACTATTATTTTGACTGCTCAAATATGGTAAAAATTCCCATAGACTTCAATGGTCACAGAATCAAAACCATACAAATTATTAGTATTGCACCACAAAGGCAGGTAATCATGCAGTATTGTGTGCCTGAATGAATGAATATATATATTATTATATTATATATTATATATTTATTATATATATATTAATATATTATTATATATTATTATTAGTTAAATATGTAAATAAAACGTAATCTTGAATTAAATCATTTGATATGACAAACAGTATTATAGAAGAACTTAAATTACAAACAAGGTTGAGACAAATATGTTGAATGGAACTCTAAATTGCACCTTCACAGCAGCCATATTGTCTAATAAATAAATAAAAGTTTAAAAAAAAAAAAGAAGACAACGACGACATTCAGGTCAGTCAATAGCAATAGTACATTGAATAATTAGCAACGCTAAATATATTGGTTTTGCATTTGATTGGATTTATTCTGTCTGTATTAATACTGTGCATGGAATGTGTATCTTCTATCAACATACAAGTGTATAATAGAGCTTTTAGTATGTCCTGTACCCTGATTCAATCATGTTTTAAAAGTTTGTGCTAAAGTGACAGGTCTTGTACAGTTCTAAAATAAAATAACTTTCCACCATTGAAATACTTTGGTAACATTGAGGCGGTTCAGAGGTTATTATAATTAAAGGGATGCAGTCAACTTGAAATCTAGACAATTTAAAAGAAGAGTTAAAAGTAGTTTCAGGTATTACTACTGGCAGTGAATCCTCCAGAAAATTTCTATGGCTTTCAAATTTCCTATTTTTTAAAATGTTTTTCTTTCCACTGTAGCTGTGTGACTGAAGCAAATGGGGGAAACTGACTATGCAGGCGTGATCCTGGCAATTCACACAATGCTGTTAAGTTCAAAGAGTAAACAAACTGCTAAAATAGAAACAGAATTTTGGGGGTTATGTGTAACAGGGGGTGAAAATATTTCAGATAGAAGTATGATTTTTTTTAAGTTGGCAGTGTCCCTTTAATGAAAGCCACAGATTTGGTTTATTAGATGTAATTGTTTATGGTCTAATCCATTAAGTTACTACTAGCTACTGTTTTGCTGTACTCCAGCAATTAAATCCATAGAATTAAATTGGTGCAACATAAGGGGAATACAAGAACGGTCAAAGAAAGAAATAATTAGTTAAATAACCAAACACCAGAAATATAATAAAGTGTTTATAAAATCTGTCCTATTTAAGTAGTATCAGAACTACATAAATGCTCGCTGGTTTGCGTTCCCTGTTTTAAAAAGGTGTACCTTGGAAGTCACCCATTAATAAGTCATGCAGGGAGACTCATAGGAACTGTATATTTTTCATTTGGACATTGTGACAGAGAGTCATATAAAGACCTAACAGTGATCATATCACCATTTTAGACCCTTTTCTGGCAGTCTCATCTTTGCACTAGCCCTATGCAAAATGTCACTTTTTTCAAGTCGGACACATGTCCTTATCTTTTTTTCCTTTCTTCCTGATTCTACTCCTCTTTGGTTTCTGTACCCCTCAGGGCACACAGAGGAGTTCCCTTGTGTGTGGGTGAAGAGAACAAAACAGAAATCAGTAAGCACAGTGAGGTAAATTTGCAAACATCGCACCAAAAATTAACTCACATAGCTACCATTAAAGCTAATTGGAGGTGCTCAACCTGATTCCATTCATGGTGCTCGCAATTTACCCATGTGTGTTTCAGAAGTACTTTGTACTTTTAATTCAAAAGTCTTGAGAAACGAGCATAAATTATGCAAATGATGCTTCATGTTTTAAAAAAATACAACTGAAACACTTGCTTTTTTCAAGAAGAAGTGCAAAGATTTAGCCAATGGAATTCTCAGTCCATTAGAGTTGATTAGTAAAGCACAAAATAACATTTTGAAAATGACAGGTTTCAGAGGAACAGCCGTGTTAGTCTGTATTCGCAAAAAGAAAAGGAGTACTTGTGGCACCTTAGAGACTAACCAATTTATTTGAGCATGAGCTTTCGTGAGCCACAGCTCACTTCGCTGTGGCTCACGAAAGCTCATGCTCAAATAAATTGGTTAGTCTCTAAGGTGCCACAAGTACTCCTTTTCATTTTGAAAATGTACTTCATGCTGTTCAAATGAACAAGTTGTAAGACAAAAGTATGGGGGAATATTAACTCTAAATCATATTGTTCTCTTCCTTGTTCTGGAGTCAAGCTTGTCTTCTTTTTATATCAAACCAAATGTAATAATTAAATGAAAGATATTTCATAAAGTTTTCATACATTATTACTCGTTATCTTTGCAATAAATGTATGCTAAGACAACTCTTTGCTAACCAAGTATTTATTTACTTAGATTTATTCACTGTGCCTGTGCCAAGTTGTAAGCACATTGCACAACATACATAGAGCTATTCTGGTAAAATATTAAGGCTCCCAAGAGGTCCATACCTTATACAGAACAAGTCACCTAAAATCATCATGCAACTCTCCATGGCAACTACCAACCCCATCTCCCACATAGCCTCAGTAAGCCCTTGGGTCATCCTTCCCAGGAAAACCTGGGCCAGGTGGATCTTGCAGCATGTCTTCAAAGTCATCACATCTGGGTCCTGAGGAACCAGAGAGTGAATTGAATTCCAGAACCAGGGATCCCTCCCTGAGAATATCCTGCCACCAGCTGTCTCCTGCTTTATGCTAGGATGGCATTCCCACCTTTAATACCTCAGATGATCTCAACATGTGCAATGACTGGAGAGGGAGACAGCCTCTCAGGTAGCTAGGGTTTGAATCATTTGGGACATAAGGGTCAAATGCCAACACTTCATCTGGAATCCATTGGCAGCCAAGGCGGCTCACATGGTGTAAACTCACAGGTGTAAACACTCTTTTCCTGAAATCCCGATTTTAAAGAGCAGGCCCCGACATTGTGCACTAGCTGTATTTTCTGCAAAATCATAGCAAATTTGTATCTCAAGTAATACCATCTGATTTTCTTCGTAAATTTTTGGACAATATCTGGAATCCTGATAACTACAGCATGCTAAGTTGAATCTTTTTGTGTTTTGCAGCACTCTCAACAATAACAACATCACTCGACTTTCAGTGGCAAGTTTCAACCACATGCCCAAACTCAGAACCTTGTAAGTAGTCCCGATGACAATAGCTGTCTGTTCTGTTAATCTAGTGTGTTCACCACTTCTCTATTTCTACACAAGTTTTGCTAGTGGTTCTGAAAAGGCATCAAGATGGATTTGTGGGCAAGAAAGGGGAAAAGTGCAACTCAACGATCTCTAGATTGAGATCCACTCCAGCAGCATAACGGCACTATGTGAGTCAGTTGCAGAGGGATCTTCGAGGTGAAATTAACAAACCCCCACAAGCCAAGGGCAGTAAGTGAGACCCATGAACTAGAAATCCTTTTGTCAGTTATGCAGGCTGTTGGGGCCACTGGATCAACAGAAATGCAGCTGCCATGGCCATTTCTCTATCCTGTCACAAATTGCAGCAATGCTCTCCACACCATACATGAGTTTCACTATCTAGAGAAGAAGGTGGAGACTATTCTGCACATTATAATTATATCTAAGAATAGGTGCTTTTGAAAGTGAACAAAATTGTTTTACTTTGAGCTATTCAATAGGTCACATTTCATTTAAGAATATGGAAGAATCTTTGATTGGCTGTCAGATGTGATAAATGGGAAATGTTTATGACTGCACTGCTAGCAGACCTAATTAAACTAAACTGGCTCTCCAACATTCTTTGTAACAAAAAATTATAGCATCAACTGGTAGTGCTGTTTTAATTAAGGTTGTGTCAGCATTTACATTAAGGCCCCAATTTTTAGCAGTTACGACTGAAACATAAGCATATGCTTCAGGCTACTAAAATGAAACAAAGAAACTGTTCATGCAAGTTCTAGCCTTTTTTAAAATTTATGCAAAAACTAAGGATTGCCTTTTTTAAAACATGCAATTGTTTTTAAATAATAATAGTAATAATTATTATAATTAATAATATAATATTTTAGGGCTTAATCCTGAGCTCCCTCTCCAGGCAGAACTCCCAATGGAAGTGAAAGATGAGCAAAATTGAAAGTAAATGGGATGCTTGCTTGAAAACAAAAAAAGGTCAATAAAGGCCCATGGATAGTACTTGTATAGCCCAAAATGGCCTTGATTTCATTTATTTTTATTTATTTTATTCTTTTATATGGAAGCCATTTTGGAAATCAGTGGGCGTAGTCACCTGTGTAAAGTTACTCAAGTATTTTTTAGTATACTTTAGTCACCTGTGTAAAGTATACTCAAGATCAGGTCCTAGGTTCGTCCAGTGGTTCTTAAACTCTGTGGTCCATGGACTGCAAGTAGTCCGTGTTGTATTTATAATGTATTCTGACTGTGCATCTAGGGTTGCCAAGCATCTGGTTTTCGACCAGGTTTAGGGTGCAGGCGCTTATCTCACAAGGCTCCTGGTCGGCGGCTCAGCAGGGCTAAGGCAGGCTCCCTGCCTGCCCTGGCTTCACGCAGTTGCCGGAAGTGGCCAGCATGTCCCTGCGGCCCCTAGGTGAAGGGGCAATCAGGGAAGCTCTGTGTGCTGCCCCTGCTCCCCGGTGCCGGCTCCGCAGCTCCAATTGGTCGGGAACCGTGGCCAATGGGCACTGCAGGTGCGGCGCCTGTGAGCACGGGCAGCACGCAGAGTGGCCTGGCATATCCGCTTAGGGGGAGCAGGACATGCTGGCTGCTTCCAGGAGCCGCAGGGAGCTAGGGTAGGCAGGGAGCCTGCTTTAGCCCCGCTGCACTGCTGACCAGGAGACGCCTAAGGTAAGCGCCTGAACTCCCTCCCGCACCCCAACCCTATGCCCCAGGTTGGAACCCCCTCGCGCACCTTAACTCTCTCCCAGAGTCTGCACACTACCCTCCTGCCCCAGCCCTGAGCCCCCTCCTTCACCTCAAACCCCTCATCCTTGGCCTCACCCCAGAGTCCACACCCCAGCTGGAGCCCCTTCCCACACCCCAATCTCCTGTTCACTCTGCACCCCAACTCCCTGCCCCAGCCCTGAGCCCCTTCCTGCACCCCAAACCCCTCATCCCTGGTCCCACCCCAGACCCTGCATCCCCTCTGGCACTCCAACCCCCTGTCCCAGCCCTGAGCACCTTCCCTCACTCCGAACCCCTCGGACCCAGTCTGGAGCCCTCTCCTGCACCCCTAATCTCCAACCCCACCTCAGAGCCCACACCCCCAGCCAGAGCCCTCTTCTACTCTCACACCCCCAGCCAGAGCCCTCACCCCCTCCCACACCCCAAACTCCTGCCCAACCCCGTGAAAGTGAGTGAGGGTGGGGGAGAGTGAGCGATGGAGGGAGGGAGGATGGAGTGAATGCGGGCAGGGCCTCAGAGAAGGGGCAGGGCAGGGAAGGGGTGTTAGGTTTTGTGCAATTAGAAAGTTGGCAACCCTATGGACACCTGAAGGCATAAGTGTGTATTGGTTTAATAAATACCTCACTATATATATTTACTTAAACTTTATTTCAACTTCTTAAGTACAAGTAGCATTTAGGCAATAGAGTATAAGAGTGATTTTAGTCTTTTGCAAACTTGCATAAAGATTTTTGTGGGATGGTTCATCTTAAAATTTATTATATAAACAAAAGAAAGTCAACATGGAATGTCCTCCATCATAACTGTGACATTTAGCTGTAACAATAAATAGCCAGAGGACAATTCAAAAGAGAGATTTGTCACTCTAATCCCACTTACACTGATAATACACGTGTAACTGCATTGCCTTCAATGACGTTACTGTTGGGTTTGCACTGATGTAAGCGAGTGCAGAATCAGACACTATGTCCTTACCCAGTGGTGGCTATGTATTGTTTGTATCATATTGTATGCTGTATCTCTCTGCTACAATACCCACACATCATAAAAATAGTTAAGGAAAGTACATCAGTTTTAACTTTAATTGTTAGTCCTCTATGAATGGAAATAAGAATCAATTAAATCATCTTGCTTTTGTTGGCTGTTTCCACAGCCTTGATGTTACTTAAATGGGTTTTTATTGGGTTAATTAGCTTTCTCGGCTGAGTTCTATTTTTTTAATATCCATTACAATTATTTGCTTAGAACTGAGCACATTAGCTAAAAAGGACTAAAATGATATTACTCTGTTATGGAGGATTCTCGGAGTAAGGTTTGATTTATAGATTTGAATGTCCTTTTCTTTAGTTTGAAAAAAACATAAAATCCAGGCTGAAGTAATTTACCTAATTTAGTGAATACATTTGTCTGATATTTTATCAATGGCAAAGTGCTTTTTGGCACTTGGCAAGGAGCCATGATCTTTTGTAGGTCTCTGCCAACAGAGAGGCAACTTACTTAATTCCTTCACTCACTGCCATTTGTTCACTGCCATTTGGTCTTTTAATTTCAGGCATTGCTTTGAATGTGGGTCCCTAGGAGCCAAAAGTAGCTAATCCCCTTTTCTGTAATTAAACAAAAGGAGAGAAAATCAGGAAGGGATGTGAAAGAAGGTGTTTTATATTGCATTATTATTCTGTCTTGTTCAGCAGCAAAATGAATATGACCTGCTAAAAGGATTTTGCAAGTAGTTTCTATAGAGACTAATAACAGCCAGACTTACTGATATCTCTAATTGGAAGCCAAATCTTATATTAACTTTTTTTGTTGTCAGTATATTACTGTAATAAACCAGTTTTCTTTAGACTTTTTTGATTTATTGGCCTTCTGTACAGAGCTAAGCTAAATAATTCAAAAGTTGTTTTCAAACTCTGGTGTTTTTGCGTTTCTCTTTTAGGAGAGAGGGAAGAAACTGTAGATACTCAATTTTGTGATAGCAAACCTAGTTTCTTATTAAACTAATTAGACCAACCTAAAAAGTAGCCTTTTTGCTACTTAAATGTTAATAAATAAAGCTACATGAGTCTCCAGCTTCAAATGAAAAATTTAAAAGATCGATTCCTCATTAGGACTTCTTATTAGTAAATCTTCCAGATCTGTAAAACTCTGTCACTCAGGTTTTTTGCTAATTTAAACATATTGACTTGTTTCCTCTCATTCAGTCGACTTCACTCCAATAACCTCTACTGTGATTGCCACCTGGCCTGGCTATCTGATTGGCTGCGGCAGCGACCCCGAGTTGGCCTGTACACACAGTGTATGGGCCCATCCCACCTGAGGGGACACAATGTAGCAGAGGTTCAAAAACGAGAATTTGTCTGCAGTGGTAAGGGAAACAAATTCTGCAACAGAGCTCTGATTTAATGCATGTTTAACACCAGTTTAACAGAGATTGTAATGATATGCGCTGTATGCTGTTTCTAGCTCTACAGAATTTAAACAACTTCTTTGAAAACCTGTTCAGGTATTTTGGCAATATACATGGGTCTAATGTGGGTAACTGTGTTCCTATGTACTTTATGTAAATGATTCACATATATACATTCACACACACAAAATACATAGAAACACTATATACACTATATGCATACCTTTCTAAAAACAAATTTTTGGTGATGGGTGCCTATGAAAATGAAATCCAAATGTACATTTTGAGACCATCAGGAAGCTTTCTATATGGAATGACTCTCTGTTCTTTTTAATTTACAGGCTCTTTGTTCCCTGCTTCAGTATTTTCCACAGTTTTCATAAACTCCCCACTCCCAAAAGAACCCCTTTTGGAATACTATTTCTATGCTTTAGCAACTCTGGTTGTTTTCTGAAGTGAAATAATGAAATGACTAACAGTTCAGTACTAACCACTTTTTCTTTATTCATTTTTTCCCCTTTATTCATAGATGAGGAAGAAGGCAAGTTCATGTTTCTTTTTTTAATAGTTTTAGACTTGGATTGAAAAATATCTGTAAACTTTAGTTAATGTTTCTGGTTCCCCAAATTCTTAAGAACAATAGCATATGTACAACTGTATCTGCAGTATTTAGGCCTTGATCTGCAAGTTTTACCATGCAGGCAGACCTTTGTGTCCAGCAGAGCCCCATTGATGACAACAGAACACCACACAAGCACCAGGATCCATCCACACAAAGCCTGTAGGACTAAGGCTTAATGAGTGCATTGCTAACTTGAGTATAATGCCTCCTTGCTCCACAAATTCTGCCTTTGGGTGCGTGTGCAGGGATCCCAGTGGAACCCTGTTCGTACACCTGAGAATTTGTCTTTAAGTGGATATATGTGAACATTCCCATTGTAAATCCCTATTTTGGGGGATTTATTGCACCTTGATATACATGTCTTAGCCCTGGATCAATTTATTTTTATTTAATAAAATCAATTTGAATATTTTTTTACATTAGGAGTGTAACAACAGTAGCATAGGTATATTAGTTTTCGTTGCCTGTTTGCTCTCTTGTAACTCCAGAATAAAGCTGAAATTTAGATATTGTAAACTGCTATCTCAAAAGGCAAGACTTTTTTGTTAGTGTAATTTTAAAAATGGATCAGTTAAAGTCTGAAATACTGAACATGCAGAGCAATTAGTTTATAACTGCGAGTAGAGCAACTTCCTAGGTGAAAATATGACATTAGAGAATAGAGAAGGACATGTTGGTCTTAAAGTCATGATTCCAAAGTGGGCCATCAACTTATTTTCTTTGGGTTGCAAAATTTTCCCCAACTTTCAAAAACAAAAACACCTCCCCAGTTCTCACCCTCCTGAGAAAGAGTTAAAACTGTAAATCTGAATTTTCTCTTCCATGCTCTTCAAGTTAGTTCAACATTTAGGTATTATTGAGATTAATTAATGTAACTCAAAGTAACTGATTTTGTAACCATGTTTATTCTAAGAGCTCTGTCTGTTATTTTGTAAGGAAGGGAGAAATAGGATTGTTCACTGTTGGAATTATCTAGAATTCTTCTATTTGACTATTCTGTAGTTTTAGAAGAAGCAATTTGTTTTCTGTTCCAGGTCATCAGTCTTTTATGGCTCCTTCCTGCAGTGTCTTGCATTGTCCTACTGCATGTACCTGTAGTAACAACATCGTTGACTGTCGTGGGAAAGGCCTTACTGAGATCCCAACCAATCTTCCAGAAACTATTACTGAAATGTAGGTTATCTTGCTTTTTTGCCATTAACTTGCAGAAATGTAGTGTTCCCTCTATCTACTTATATTTATTTGCTGTGGTAAGTAATATACTGTATGGGAAGAGTGTTTTGGAATGTACCAGAAATAGTAATATTTGGTGTATAGGAAACCATTTGTTATAGTCTTGTATTTTCAGTTATAGGTTCATTACAGGGACACTAGTCACAAACTATTGCAATCAGAATGGTCTTAAGATGGGGTATAAATGATGTGATTTCTACACCTAAGTGGCCTTTCAACACAGACAACACACCACAACCTTACCTTTGCCTCGTTGGATGCCTTCCTTCAGTCATCCCTTTTAACAAACGATCTATTCGCAGTGCAATAAATCACTACACCAAATATCCACAGCCAGTTGTGCTGGAATAAGTAGCTGGTAAAGGAGTATCCTCAAAAGGGCAAATTTAGAGGGCAGATTTAAGGTCGAGGAATGTGGTCTGTGTTGTAGTTGTAGTAGCGATAAAAGATGTGTCTGTGCGGGAGGAGTAGATAGTATGTACTGTTAAGGTGGCTTAACTTTTCATATGTTATAAAGGATGAGTATTTTTGGAATATAAAACTACTTTTAATATCAGAATTTGGTTTGTATAAATTACAAAACTTAATTCAGTTGGCTGACACAGAGTCATCATAGAATCATAGAATATCAGGGTTGGAAGGGACATCAGAAGGTCATCTAGTCCAACCCCCTGCTCAAAGCAGGACCAATCCCCAACTAAATCATCCCAGCCAGGGCTTTGTCAAGCCTGACCTTAAAAACCTCTAAGGAAGGAGATTCTACCACCTCCCCAGGTAACGCATTCCAGTGCTTCACCACCCTTCTAGTGAAAAAGTTTTTCCTAATATCCATCCTAAACCTCCCCCACTGCAACTTGAGACCATTACTCCTTGTTCTGTCATCTGCTACCACTGAGAACAATCTAGGTCCATCCTCTTTGGAACCCCCTTTCAAGTAGTTGAAAGCAGCTATCAAATCTCCCCTCATTCTTCTCTTCTGCGGACTAAACAATCCCAGTTCCCTCAGCCTCTCCTCATAAGTCATGTGTTCCAGTCCCCTAATCATTTTTGTTGCCCTCCACTGGATGCTTTCCAATTTTTCCACATCCTTCTTGTAGTGTGGGGCCCAAAACTGGACACAGTACTCCAGATGAAGCCTCACCAATGTCAAATAGAGGGGAACGATCACATCCCTCCATCTGCTGGCAGTGTCCCTACTTATACAGCCCAAAATGCCGTTAGTTTTTTTGGCAACAAGGGCATGCTGTTGACTCATATCTAGCTTCTCATCCACTGTAACTCTTAGGTCCTTTTCTGCAGAACTGCTGCCTAGCCATTCAGTCCCTAGTCTGTAGCGGTGCATAGGATTCTTCTGTCCTAAGTGCAGAACTCTGCACTTGTCTTTGTTGAACCCATCAGATTTCTTTTGGCCCAATCCTCTAATTTGTCTAGGTCCCTATACAGAAAATATTTAGTTGAGTGGGACCTCACAGGAAGGAACAATCAATTGCACACATACAAAGTGTGTGGGGCGGGAGGGATAGCTCAGTGGTTTGAGCATTGGCCTGCTAAACCAAGGGTTGTGAGTTCAGTCCTTGAGGGGGCCATTTGGGTTATGGGGCAAAAATTGGGGATTGGTCCTGCTTTGAGCAGGGGGTTGGACTAGGTGGCCTCCTCATGTCCCTTCCAACCCTGGGATTCTATGATCTATGATTTTCTAAAGTGGGAAATGGCTGCCTTGGAAAGAGTACTGCAGAAAGGGATCTGGGGGTCATAGTGGAGCACAAGCTAAATATGAGTCAACAGTGTAACACTGTTGCAAAAAAAGCAAAAATCATTCTGGGATGTATGAGCAGGAGTGTTGTAAGCAAGACACGAGAAGTAATTCTTCCACTCTACTCCACTCTGATTAGTCCTCAACTGGAGTATTGTGTCTAGTTCTGGGCACCACATTTCAGGAAGAAGATCAAGGTGGGCCATTTCCAACACAAATCCAGGTTTTCTCACCCCCCCCCCCCACACACACAAACCCACTCTCCTGCTGGTAATAGCTTATCTAAAGTGATCACTCTCCTTACAATGTGTATGATAATCAAGGTGGGCCATTTCCAGCACAAATCCAGGGTTTAATAAGAACATCTGAGGAGGAGGGGGGGTAGGAAAAAACAAGGGGAAATAGGTTACCTTGCACAATGACTTAGCCACTCCCAGTCTCTAGTCAAGCCTAAGTTAATTGTATCCAATTTGCAAATGAATTCCAATTCAACAGTTTGTTGCTGGAGTCTCGATTTGAAGTTTTTTTATTGTAATATCGCAACTTTCATGTCTGTAATCGCGTGACCAGAGAGATTGAAGTGTTCTCTGACTGGTTTATGAATGTTATAAACCAGGATTTGTGCTGGAAATGGCCCACTTTGATTATCATACACATTGTAAGGAGAGTGATCACTTTAGATAAGCTATTACCAGCAGGAGAGTGGGGTGGGGGGAGGTATTTTTTCATGCTTTGTGTGTATAAAAAGATCTTCTACACTTTCCACAGTATGCATCCGATGAAGTGATCTGTAGCTCACAAAAGCTTATGCTCAAATAAATTAGTTAGTCTCTAAGGTGCCACAAGTACTCCTTTTCTTTTTGCGAATACAGACTAACACGGCTGTTACTCTGAAACCTGACATTTCAGGAAGGATGTGGATAAATAAATAAAGGATGTGGAGAGAGTCCAGAGAAGAGCAACAAAAATGATTAAAGGTCTAGAAAACATGACTTATGAGGGAAGATTGAAAAAATTGGGTTTGTTTAGTCTGGAAAAGAGAAAACAGAGAGGGGACATGATAACAGTTTTCAAGTACATAAAAGGTTGTTACAAAGAGGGGGAAGAGAAAAAAAATTCCTTAACCTCTGAGGATAGGACAAGAAGCAATGGGCTTAAATTGCAGCAAGGGAGGTTTAGGTTGGACATTAGGAAAAACTTCCTAGCTGTCATGGTGGTTAAGCACTGGAATAAATTGCTTAGGGAGGTTGTGGAATCTCCATCATTGGAGATTTTTAAGAGCAGGTTAGACAAACATCTGTCAATAATGGTGTAGATAATACTTAGTCCTGCCATGAGTGCAGGGGACTGGACTAGATGACCTCTCGAGGTCCCTTCCGGTTCTATGATTCTATGAGCAATGAATGCCCTCAGCTAATAGCACTGGGTATTGGATCCCATTGTCAACATTTTCCATTTTGAACCTCATGTCTGGACAGCCTACATTTATACCCATACATTTATACCCATACTGTCAGGGAAGAGAGAGGGGGAAGAGAAGTGAGCTGGTTCCCATAATTCCCCCTATCTAGCTTGTGGCCCAGCAGCCCTGTCCATCTTCCATTCTGGGGGCAACACATGGGGCAGGAGGGGGAAGAGAGAGAAGTGGGCTGGGCTCCATTCCTACCCCACACCACCCAGCTAACCTGTGGACCCAGCACATAGTTTTTTGGTGTGTGTATATATATATATATATATATATACACACACACCCAGCACATAGTTTTTTGGTGTGTATATATATATATATATATATATATATATATATAATTGATAATATATTTAACCATGATTCTAGTATGTAGTCTTGTAACATCGCAGTATTAACCTTTTCCCACAATGAAAAGTGATCCTTTATTCAGGGGTGAAAGTGGGCCAGTACGGTGTACTGGTAGGAAGCTGGCACCGGCCCGTACGCACTGCTTTAACATCGCTGCCCCTTTTGCCTCCCGCCCCCCCCAAGGCAGCCGACGGATGGGGAGGGGCAGCTTCCCCGGGGATGGCAATTTAAAAGATCCCTGGGCTCCTGTCCACCGCTGCTGCTACTGTGGCAGTGGCCAGATCCCCATACCCTTTTAAATTGCTGCCGAGCTATGGGCAGCAGGGGCCAGGCAGCGCAGATGGGCTAGCTGAGGGGGGCTGACCCCTCAGCCCCACCCCTTCTGCCCGAGGCCCCACCCCTTCTGCCTGAGGCCCCACTCCTCCTGCCTGAGGCCCCGCCCCGTCTGGGGGCCAGAGCCAGCCCCCATACCAGTAAGAATTTAATATTACTTTCACCCCTGCTTTTATTCATATATTTTCTTAGCCAGTTTCAGATCCATGCCATGACTTTACTCTTTGCCCAGTGACTGCTTAGTTATTAGAGGCTTGTAAGGCTCTTTTAAGGGACCTGGGCTTTTTGAAAATCCAAATAAATTACAGCAAATGGTTCTTTCTTCACCATTATTTTATTGTCTCACTCAAAGAAATCCATTAAATTAGATTATTTTCATTCACAGATGTTTTGCTGTTGTTTTTGTCTGTATTTCATCATGTTCCTATAGGTGTTTTTATAATTCTGTTTTTAATTATTGTTTCAACTAGTATCCTCCTTACACACTTTTTTGAACTGAGGGAGTTTGTAGGCCAGTAAGTCCATGTTTATCAGGGCACATTTGGCAGTATGGGAGATAAGATAGAAAGTTCAGGCTATAAGACTCCTGAGTGGTTGAGAAGACTTGTTTGTGAAGAAATCATATGACATTTGTGTATCCAGTGTAATTGCCACGCCCAGTTTGGTGGCCTGCATTAATATCACTGAAATTATTTTATTTATTCTTTAACATGCATAGAGAATAGATGCAATGAACAATTTAAGTAAACACCTGAAATTCTAGGTCCTGATTAAACTTGTCAAATAACATAAAGATAAGTAGCTTTAAAGAAATTATTCCAATAAGAGCATCCCTGATGTTTTTGAGTTAAATTATAAACTGAGGTTTAATAACACTAAGATTTTATTTTTCTTATATATAATATACATGGATAAGGCACTGGGTTGGGACCCAGCAGAGCTGGATTCTATTCCCAGCTCTGCCACTGGCCTTCTGTTTGGGAAAGTCCCTTTTCCTCTCTAAACCTCAATTTCCTCATCTGCAAAATGGGGATA